GAGTAAAAATTTTAAAAATATTGATATGATTCTAAGATAAATACATTATTATTTTTACAATTATTTAGATTTAAAATTAATTGGAAATAATTAAGGTATTATTTTAAGATTTTCATTTAAAATTGAAATTGGGCGTTATTAAAAAAAACACATTGTACTGATATAGTTACAAATTATATTTTAGAATGAACAAAAAATACCCATTTTCACAACAAAAAATTTGATATTAATTTCCTTTGTCATGTATATTGAATTATTTAAAAGCGTAAGGTGATTTGTAAACATAGAACAATATCAGTACTTATTACAAATGGAAGATGTACTCCATCAAAAGAATCCTTAAAAATAAATCTCGTTTAATATAAACTTATAAATATGTTAGAACCAATTATATGTATATAATTGGATCTATGATTTCCATTAAAAATTAAATAAATGACTTTTTATATACATAATACTTATAAACCAGTTAAACAATAAGAGTTAATAATCATTAACTGTAATTATTACATTTACTTGCAATAATATGAATATACTGTAAAATTGCCTTATTATATTTAGATATTCGTGTATTACTATGTAATACTTATTTACCTATGAGTCTTTAACTATAAATTTAAAATCCAGAACTATTTATTTTTAGAATTTATGCATTGAATCGATGCATTTTTGTTAATTGTAAATTTTAAAAAAAAAAACAATTCTCAATAAGAAATCTTTTTTAATATAAACATGGAAATATATTTGAACTAACAATTGTTTTGATATAACATGTATGATTGGATCGATGACTCAGATTTTAATTTAAATTAATAAATGTATATTGCTACTCATAGAACTATGTATAATATGTCGTAATCGAAGTATTTCACTTATAATACTTATATAAAAGTATTAAAATATGAGTTAATAAATATATATATATTAATAATAATTTTGTACGAGAAAAATGTAAAAACACCAACCTATTTGGAGACCAATTGAGAAATATGAATAGTATTTTCTTAAAA